CTCGGCCTTAAAGCACTACATCCAGCGGTGAGTGCTTCTGACTGGAATAGGACTCCACGCTGCATCCAGTCATCGTATGACCCTTGCATGTATCTTTCTAAGTATTGGCCATCATCTTGTCTGAGACGCTCAATCCGGTCTAGTCTAACACAACGTTATTCAAGCTGATTCAATTCTCCTGATCGGGGCCACCTGCTAGGGTATTCTATTCTGTCAGTCGCAAGTCCAAGCTACCTGCAGAAATCTAGTGGATTGAAGGCACAGTAATGATGACATTCTCAGTTTATGGAGAGGACTTCGATGAATTGCTCCACGCTCCTGCTTATTTGTGCCTCTTGCAGCCCATGTCTATCGCACGCAGGGTCTATCCACGTCAGCAACCAGTGAGGGAAATGCGAATGTGTTGGTAGACGCATGCTTGTCGACATCCAATTCGCGAAATCTCCAGAGGAAGCGAAAAGATTCATACGACCAGGACAGACAGGATCCATGTCAGTCACAGACGCCTGACTATTGATTGAGTGCATGTAGCTCATCCACGCTGAGAAGTATGCGGCGGGAAGATACTGTGCAAGGATGGGTTTCTCATTTGTAACCAGCTTATAGTCACTCGTTATTCATTACGTGCTCTATATGAGTATGGAATTCTAGCTAGTACATTGACTAGCTCAAATGCAAGGTATTGAATGATTTAAGCCTCCTTATCCCCAGACTCAGGCCACAGCATCCGCCGTGTAGCCACAGCCCATATAGTCCCCACTCCAACACACAACCAGACACTCACCTGGGCAATGGTCAACCCTGAACCAACCCACAGAATCGCCGGCGACTGCAACACCTGTCCAATCCGAATGGTAGCAATCACGAACCCCGTGTTCGGGAAGACCATACTCCAGTATGGAAGCGACATGCCCAGCGCCCCGGTGCCACCGAAAGCTCGACACTGGGCCAGGTTACTGATTACAGCAATGCACAGACAAAAAGCCGCCATCGTCCACAAGAAGATGGCGACCAGCGCGGCTAGCACGAGTGCGATGTCTCCGGTTGTGACGGAGACCTGCTGGCTAGTGGAGGCGTCCGCATAGGAGATGATGTACCGCGCAGGAAACTGCTTGACGGCCGCTTCCGCCATCCCGATCAGGGCCAGCGCCGTGAAGCTCCATGGCCCCACGGCGATGAACATTTCCGGTCGGTCAGATGCCTTCGGGAGTCCGTCCTTGTTGAGTCGGTAGAAGTACTCGGAGTAGATCAACAGAGACATGATGAACCCGAAGCCTTGGAAGGTGGTCCCCCCGATTAGAATTGGGAGGGCATGATTACGAGTTTGATGCGATGCGAGCACTGACGCGATTGTCCCTGACAGCATGGCCGGAAACGAAGGGAGGAGTCGAACGAGGGCGAACGGCTGGCGACTGGCCATGCGGATATGGTAGAGGTACCAATTATGCCAGATGGCCTGGATGGCCGAGAGGGCGACGTAAATCCAAAAGACGATGCGCAGGGCAACCTGCAGCCAGGGGCCACATGCTTCTGTTCCGTAATTCTCGGCTCCGAGGATGATCGTTGCCAGGGCCAGTAGACAGGTTCCCATAAAGTGGCTTTCGTTGGGCTCTTGGAAGGATTCTTTCAGCGCCGTGGACTTGGCCAAAAAGCGTATGACCAGACAGGCAGATATGCCGAGGAAGAGGACGAGATTGAGTATGTAGACTACCTTGCCGATGGTCGTCAACCCGCGAAATTGATATGGTGTGCTAGACAGAAGGACGGCGATACCTCCCGTAGCCATGGACATGGAATACCATCCCCAAGTGACCTGGCATATTCGATCCGAGAGAGATACTTTGGTGATCATCGTCTACCGAGTACACACTTGGTCGATGGTTGGAGGAAATGCGGCTTCGAGCGCATTTTGAGGTCGGAGCAGCCGGACTACTATCTCCTGTCTGCTCAATACTCCAATTCCTGCCTTGTTTCGGTACGGCCACATCGGCGTCATAGGGGTCGATATTGAATCGGGCCGATGGTCTGATATCTCGGATCTTGACCGCGTGTGACGTCAAGGGAGTTCCACTGAATTACCTCTGATATTTTAGCAATTGTTTAGGTGTTCTGTTAACAGAATTCAATCAGTTTACTTAGCACATGGCGACTTCCTTAAATTGCAAGATAAAGATCAACTAAGGTTTGTCGAATCTATGCAGTATATACATAGTTTGCTGGAAGAACGTGGAGACAACTGAACAACTAGAGGTCTACTAATCTCATGAAAAGCAACATAATCCATTATCTGTAACTCAAAGCTAACTTAAAACCGTTGAGGGTGAAAACTATTTTATGACCATACTGTTGCCATTCCCTGGGCCTCAGCTTCAAGGCCCCTGTCTCATAGAGGCACAAAGATGCGCAATCGACTAAGAAATGCCTCTGTGGTGTAGTTGGTTATCACGTGAGTCTCATATTGCTGTATGATCAGAAGTTCCACTTCCGAGTCATCTCAAGGTCGGGAGTTCGATCCTCCCCGGAGGCATTTTTTTTCTGCATTCTTTTTTAACCTAAGAGTGACGAGATTGCATCAAATTTGCATGATTATTTGCATGAATATGTCAATGTATTTACCTGAGTCTATTATTTACAACTGAGTGCATATTTACAGTCACTGTAAGCCAGCCTGCATCCTCTTCTCCTTGATCACCTCTCGCATATACGGACTCTTCTCGCGCACTTTCCGTCCCCAAACAATAAAGGCAATCGGAGCGAGGACCAGAGACAAGCTGATAAAGGCCAGCAGCGTGCTGGCCCACTGGAACCCCAGCGTGTTATACATGCTCATGGCCGCCAACGGCAGAAATGCCGAAAAGGTATTCTCGCCGAGGACGAAACACGCCATGACACTGCCGGCGTACTGGCTGTATGCATCAACAATGTAATCCGCCAGCCCAGAGACCACGACGACACTCCCCGCGCCTACCATAAACAGTCCCACCGCAGGGGCGATCCACGGCAGAGTGGGATATGAGGTCCACGCGTACACGAACATGCCTCCGGAAATGCCGACCACGCTGCCGGCGACCGACAGGTACAGCCGTGCTTCGGGGATGGGGAGACCAGGCGTCTCGGTATTGCGACGGGCCGACGAAAAGTATAGCTTCGCTGAGGGGATGGAGAAGAACCATCCGACGACTTCTCCGACCACGATGGCGGCCTGGACGTATCCGGCCTCGACAGGTCCCCAGTCATACAGACCCACAAACACCTGCTCGACGGACTGGGTAAAGAGGTACAGCGTCCCGACGGTAAAGGCAGACCACAGCGTCGAGAAGAACACCACATACTCGGTGACCAGCATTTTGAGGGGACGCTGGATGCTCGTGACCAGCAGCTGCCGCAGAGGCTCGGCCTCGAGCTCCTGGCGAGTATACGCATTCTGGCCTTTGTTGCGCAGTCTCTTTGCACGCTGGTGCAGGATGATCGCAGCGCGCGATTCCTTGAAAACCAAGAAGTTGATCGGGAACAACGCCCCGTACCAGATCAACTGCACATAAGAAATCCATCTCCAGGACAGAAATTGGAAGATGGACGCTCCAATCACCGGCCCCACGCTGCTTCCCGCCAGATAGGCCCAGATCCAGAGACTGACGGGCTTACTGCGCTGCTTCTCCGTCTCCCAGACATTCCCGATCACGCTGGCAGCACTGTTGCCGATGACGGTGACGCAGCCGCCCGCGAAGAAACGCGTGATGACGAGCGTCGCAAAGTTCTGCGCCACGGCTTGGGGAATGACAAAGAGGATCAACAGGAGGTGCGTCAAGAGGAACGTTCGGCGGATGCCAAAGTCCTCCATGATGGGGAGGATGAGCAGAGAGAAGAAGACGCCACCCAGTGCCCACGAGGTCACGGGCCAATACGAATGCGGAAAGACGGCATCGCTGATCCCAAATCGCTCGTTGATGGCTTCATGGGCAACGGTGATAATGGTGCCGTTCATGAGCGCAACAAACGTCATGAGCAGCGAGATGCAGGTGATGAGCCATTTTCTCGCCTTGGACCAGTTCAGCGGGTTTTCTGGATCGTCTGGTCCATCCCAGTCTACGATGGTCACGTCTGAGCTCACTGAGGAGACTGTCTTGTTAGTATCTATACAGCATTGATATATAAAGACACTTACCGGAATCCTGATCCGCACGGTCATTAGCGAACATTCTTAAATACCCTGTACATCGACCTAGCTCGCGTACTCAGGCCCCGAGAAGCCATATATATACTCCGTCAACCTCTCATCCGGTTGACCCAACATGGTTAGCAGATAGAAAAATCAGTGGCGCCTCTCGTGCTGGACTTCCCCATATGGTCTGGAATCATGAAGAAAGCGTTGAGCCAATGAGACTGGAACCATGGCAGTTGGTGGACCTTGGTGGTGCGTGGGAGGAGCAAGATCTGGTCCCGATTACATAAAAGAATTAATCAGAGCTGTCAGTGCCTGGCGACTCTTGGCTCAACTGTAGTCCTTAGTTATGAGTATACACATCCGTCTATAGAGTCTTAGATGCTGTCACGCTGATGATAGAATGGAATATTATGAATATTTAATCCCTCAGCCTCAGGCTTGGATATGAATAGGTCATGGATTCTACGCTGAAGATACTGTGTTGCCAGTGCCAGTTGCCACTATGACTTCAGAGTTTCTTCTGTCTTCCGCTAAGCTTCTCCGATGAACTGCCTATTCAGGCTAGTGCCAGGAGAATATTCAATAGATAAGGTTATTGGATGACAATATGGCACTGACAAAATGGACAAAAGTTACTGTAGGTCAATGCACAAAATACGCCGAGATCGACAGAGGCATGGATGGCTGCATTATTCAGTCAACCCGCTTGATGTTTATGATAATAAAATCTTTATTCATTTACTTCATTTGGTGTATGAAGGCACCCCCTAAGTCAGTGTATGCTCTAGGATATCTATCGCTCATGTCTATGTCCATTCCAGGCGAAGGCACCTGACTATCGGAGCTCTGCGCCCATTTCAAGCAAGAATTCATAAAAGGGCCCACTGACGTTCCCCACCTGATGATATAAAGGAGTATGTCCATAGTTGTCCCGGCTGTTGATGTCTGCCCCAGCCTCGAGCAGAATCCTGCATATCTCCTCGTCCCCCGAGGCACATGCAGTCGCAAGAGAAGTCCACCCCTCCTCGTCCCTATCGTCGACATTTGCACCGTGGGAGAGCAAAAGTCGTACAAGTTGAGGATTCTCTTCCATGGTCGCGMACATAAGGGCCGTGCGATGTTCCGCATTTCGGGCATGGATGTTCACTCGACCGGTCCGGAGCAGCATCTCAGCTATCTCGCAGCGATTCTCCCGGAAAAACTCACAGGCAATCAGCAGCGGGGTACGGCCGCAGTGATCTACAGGGTCGGGATCAACACCGCTCTCCAGTAGAAACCGCGTGATCCGGACCATTTTTCCTTCGACTGCGTAGAAGAGTCGCTCGGAACCATGGATGGTTGCGAAGCTCGGATCAGCACCTCGTCGTAGCAAGAACTCAGCGGCGGCATCTTGATGTCTCGCGAAGGCTATGTGCAATGGTGTCCGATCGCTGTGATCCCGGATAGTCATGTCAGCGCCGCTGGCCAGCAAAAGCTCCATTATTTGGATGCGACCGCACGCGGCAGCCAGGGCGAAAGGAGTCTGGCCCCTCTTGTCTGGTTTGTCCACCTCAATGCCCAGCTGTATGAGTATCTCGACCAGCGGCTGATCGTTCCGCCGTACGGCGATATGGAGGGGTGTTTCTCCTCCTTCAGTTTTAATGTTCAGCCTGGCACCGTGGGCCAAGAGCGCTTTGATTATGGGGATCGAACCGTTCGTGACGGCCCAGTAGAGCGGACATACGCCGCGAGAGTCGGACGAATTTGGATGTGCCCCGTGCTGCAGTAGAAGATCCACCACCTTTTCGTGATTTTCTCTGGACGCCCATGATAGAGCTGTCTCTCCGTCCTCTCCGAGACTTTCCGTCTCGACGCCCCATGCAAGCAACGTCTCGACGACGTCTGCATGGCCTTCCTTGGCCGCGTGCCCGAGAGCAGTGAATCCGGTACGGTCCCGAAAATTCGGATCCAGTCCAAGCGCGAGGAAGCACTGGACCAGTACCTGGTGTCCCATGACTGCAGCGAGCGATAGAGCCGTATACCTACAACAGACCAGTGGATCACTCCCACGACTTATGAGGAACTCGACTAGATCTCTACTTCCACTTCTCACGGCGGGATGAAGGGCCCAGGCCCCTCGACACTCATACTCTTGGATATTTGCGCCTCGTTCGAGCAGGAGTTGAACATATTCTAGAGATCCTCGTTCTAAAGCGTAATGCAGCGGCTGTTGGCTGAACGGAGCGGAAGGCAGGGTAACGTTTGTACCTTCTCGGGCTAATAATACTCGCACAGCTGCATCGTGTCCGTTTCGAATGGCTAACGAAAGTGGCACCCGAGGAAAATGTCCATCCTCGTTCGGGTTGGCACCATAGTCTAGTAAGAGCTTCAAGACACGATCGTAGCCTCGTTCGGATGCAATGTTCACCAGCGGGGTATCACTGTCTTCGTCCTCATCCTTCAGGTCCGCCTTGAGTTTACAGTCAATAGTTGCGCCTAGCTCTAGACATTTTCTAACGGTGCCTTCGCAGCCCACCGACACACCCCACCGGAGAGCGGAGCTGTGGGAATGTCGGATATTATACTGGTAGAGGAGTCGGTTTAGCAGTAGGTAAATTCGACGGCTAGTCTGCACAAGGGCATTGATGTCCCTCTCTCGCGACAGATCATCAGCCAAGAGGAAGAGGATATCATCTGGCAGCCGTAGAAGGAACATGGGGATTCTATAGTGCTCTATGTGCTTGAGAAGCAATGAATGGATGGATGGCTGGCGGTGGTTGTTGTGAGTTTGGGGGGTAATTAGACTAAACCAAATAAATACATATGCATCTGATTAGCCGCATGTTCTTATGCAGAGCACGTCCCTTTACAGACCTATAGCAGGTCGTATTGCGGTAGAAGTCTTGCTAAGTTGCTATAATGGATGATTGATAAATACTTCTAACCTCTCTGGTCTTAGCTAACTCGTAATATTTACCTCTGCTCTTGGATAATGACCCGCATATATCTGGCAAAAATTAGTCGAATGATCCTATCCATACTGCAAAACTTACATGCTCATGCCCACCAACGCCAGCAAAATTCCGACAATGCTCTGAAAATAGATGGGATTCGTGCTAAAAGCCCATCCCAACCCGACAATGATGCACGTCTTGAGCTGACCGACCACGGTCCCACTGATGGATCCAGCCAAGTCGATAATGAAAAACTGCGAGAGGTTCACCAAGGAAGCAAAGATGCCGCTCTGTGACTCGTTAGAAAGAACCGAGAGAGGAGATGGATCATACCATTAAGATTAGAATCCACATGGACACTGGAACAGCCCCCAATGGCGGTGTCGCGGTAAAAGGCACAGTGAGCAGCAACAGAGCAGTGCTGACCGGTGCCTGGTTCAGGAGAAGCTGCATGCTATTCAACTGGAACTTCTTGTGATATTGCCCAATCCAAACCGTATAGATTGAACTGGCGCAGACGCCGGCAAGGGCAAATACCGTTCCCCAGGACGAATTACTCGCAGCGCTCTCGTTGCTCGCGAGGGAGTCATAGTAGGAAACGATTCCCACGCCGGAGCAAAGCAGGATGAGAGGGGAGACGGCCGTTCGCGGGATCTTGGTCGAGTAGAGCATGTAGTTGAGTAAAGCCACGACGGGAGTCAAGAGTAATCGGGCCAGTTGATGGAACATGACGGACGAATATGCAAGTGAGAGATTTTGAAGAACAACCTGGATACACATCGCTGCCGCCAGGGGGATAATCTGCACTACCGACACCTGTTTCGGTATGAAGACGGCGCACTGCTGGCGAGAGATGACCCATAAGGTGGCCCCGGTGATGAAGAAATGGTACGCAGCAAAGGCGACCTGGCAGTTGCGGAATGATATATCGGATAAGATGTATTTGTTCGTGAACACCTTGGCTGATCAGTTTAGATTTTCTAGTAGGTGAAGTACATACTATGGCGACGGTGGAAGCAACGTTGATTGCTGTCCACACGATGAAGCGAACACCCGGGGCTGCCTTGTTCTTTCCTTTTGTATCTGGTGGTAATCCAGCATATTTCTCTCGATCTTCAAGGTCCGGATTTTCCGTGTAGTCGGACGAGGAGAGATCTGCATCATAGTCGGACAGGGACGAACTGACAAGATGGGCCGCTTCCTCTGGGAGCTTCTCGGAAAGAGTGGTTGTGTAAGACATTTTGAGTAGATATTGGCAGAACAAGCAGGGGAGAGCCTACCGACAACACAAGACTATATGGAAGACAACTATGACTGGAACCCTGGAGGCTTCCTTGGTTGAGTGGAGTGATGACACCCAGACCCCAGTATTCGTGACGATCAGATGGAACATTGTGATCATTGTCGGGTCTGATCAGACAAAGACAAGTAATTGCATTGATTAGGGCTGGCAGGCGGGTCAGGTCGTTCGCATCCGGAAGGGTTGCAGTGGAGGGCATGATACAAGTAACGTCATGTTGCATTTCTTCTAAGGGCACAATCTTACTAAATATAGCGGATTACACCGGATAAGCTTAGAAAGTTGTTATTTTACATGGTGCAGCTACATATCTGAATGAAACATACAGGCTCTCTACTAAAGATCATCGGAATACGCGACATGGAACCCCTGCGGATATTGAAACTCCTTCAGCTTCAACTCAGCCTGCGACCATGGGTTATGATCGTCCGGCCACTGAGACATAGCGGTCTCGTTCCCTGCCAGCAACCGATGGATATTGAGCTTCGTACTGTACACCAGATCCCACGCCTCCGCTGGGTGCCAGTTGTCCTGTCCGTAGGCCTCAATGTCCGAGTCCTTGTAAGAAGAGCCCGCGCGTCGATGCGTCGCAATCAGATTGGGATGCGGCGCATAGCATTGGATCTGGGGACGATTCCTCTTTCCTCCACACATGTCGCCCAGGGCATTGTCCACGGCGGTTTCCAGGTGGTCCACGGACAACGAGGCCAGGATCTTCCGGGCGCCATTGTAGGTCACAGCGTATCCATAAAGACAGCATCCGGTGTCTGCACGGTAGACATACCGGGTCGATTCCTCAGGGAGCTCGGGGAAACGGTGCTTCCACCGGTCCAGCGGCCCCCGCCGGTCGACCCAGAAGCTGCGGCGGTTCATCCCTGGGACTGTAGGATCATTGGGGATTGCGTAGAATTCGGTCTCGTTGACTCCGGCAGCTGTTGAGCATCCCCCAACCCAGAGAAGGTCCCAATCTGTACCATAGGGGGCCTTTTTCGAGGCGGTCTTGGTCGGCGAAAGCGTCCGGAGTCCTCGGGCGAACTCACGCAGCTGCTGTTTGAGTGAGACATCCCAGTCGGCGTCGTCTTCCATAATCAGGGCGGTTGCGTGCCGTTTTTCCACGACTCTGCGAGTTGTCAGTATAAGTCGTTCGTCCCGAAGTGCTATGGTACGTACGTGCGAAGGGCATTCATATGAGCTCGCCAACAGGCTGCAGCCGTAGGTTTGAGAATAGTCAAGTTCATTCCCTGGATCAGTATTAGCAAGGCTCCGACCGGAGAAGAGATGAATTACCTCAGGAAGCGACTTTGGATGGACTTCCTCTGGCTTCACTCCGTCTAACCAGTCAACCCGAAAGCCAACAATCGAGGACGCCAGAGCGAGAAAATCGCGCTTGTCGGTACGCTCCTTGAGACCGATGGCATAGACATGCTCGAACTGGACACATTAGACAGGACTACAATAGCAGCTTGAGATGGCGTACTCCAAGCGTCTCATTTTGAATTGCCTCATACAGCGAATCATCCGCCCGACGAGAATGGCCGCCACGGATCATATGTCGCGTTGCMGCGTAGTCGACCCCATTTCTGACCAGCGCATTAAGCAACAGAATGCTGAACAGAAACCCGGCAATGATCTTGATGACCTTGGAGTTCCCCAGCGTCATGACGACGGCCATGGAGTAGGGACTGGCCAGAGACTCTGGACTTTGGCAAGAAGGACGTTGATCGAGGACACTCTGTAGGCGGACAGTAGAGAGAATAGATGTCTTCTTTCTTGTCTATAACGACCATCCTGTGATACAAAGCTCACAACGAGCATTCTTTAGTCTTGACACACTTCCTGTAGTGATTGCCTGGTTCAGTCCGTTTTCGTCCATTTCTGCTGTTCCGCTGCTTCAGAATCTCGGTGATGCTGCTTCCAACAGCGGCTATTTCCGGTTTAGGCAATTGTCTGAAACGTTCTGTAATTGAATACTGAGTTGAGCTCTTCCAGGTGCATCATTTATATGAGCTGGTGGAACAAGAGTAAGACGACAAAGGCCCTCCCGGTCCCTCCCCGGATTCCTCAGGCACAAACTAATTCCTCAGGCACCAACTATTTAAACCATGATCAGGTGACCTCGTCCCAATGCGGGGATTGTAATTCAATTTCACGGAATACAAGGCAATACCCAATCAATACTCGTCATTTTGGTATCGATACATCCCTGTCAAGCATCCCTGTCGCTGATCCAGAAACCCGGGTTTCCTGCAGACAACATCTAACTACAACCTTGGGCTAGTCAACGTTGCTATCTCATCTAGCTCATCTGCCACCTCAGAAATGGTCTAAGTTCAACGGCCATTGGGTTTCTAAAAATTCACTTCGGTCGCGTCGCACAAATTGCCCGTATCCCTACCTCCTCGATGCCTCCATGATCGCGATCCCAGACCACCTCCGCTGAAGCGACGTCTATCGCCGCCACTGGACACTGTCGTCCTTTCGAACGGACTGTCATGGTCTATATGATGTCCTAGACTGTTGGTGATGGAATATGGCTCAAAGAGAAGGATACCAGATCTGGTCAGCTCGACGAACTTTTGCGCTATGAGTCGATTTCCGCTCAAGCCTATCCGACTCGTTTTGTAGCGGGATCGCGCGCTTCATGCCGTTGACCGTATGGTCGTACATGAGGAGGCGGTTATCTGAGGAAAGAGTTGTGCAGTTTCCATTGTGCGATCCTCACCAGATACTCTCGAGGCCCGGGTGTCACGCGGGTGAGGAACAGGTACACAGACAGGTCTATGCATAATGGGAGTCCATTGTCTGCGGCTCACCAATCAATGAGGAAACAGGGACTGAGGATGGGTGTCCGGAGTTGGCCAAGAGCTAGGACACGATTTGTCGCGTAGCTGTACGGCTTTGTAGGTCGCGTAGATGCTCACTGAGGAGTAGTCGCAGCATACGTTATGGGCTTCTTCTTTCTGCTACGTCCAATTCGGAAAAAAGATGGATCTGACTTGTCTGGGCGCAACTGCGATAGTGGTCTTTCTACCTCCTACAGGGTTAGCTTGTCGTCCTTGATGCCGATATCATAACGACCAATATCAGCTGCCGTGATCACGGTGTGTAGGCCCCCTTACCAAAGGGACGAAGCCCGAGCATCCATATCAATACTGTGGACTGTCCTTATCTTCTCTGCCGAGGTAATATGATTTGTCGAAGCCCGTCTTATCCAGCCCCTACCTTAAGATATGGCTATTTCGGGGTAGTATATCAGCTGTCTATAATAGTTTTAACTGCTCAATTGTTCATGCATTTGTCTCTCCTTCTTCAGGAGCAGCAATAAGCATGACTAGATACTGGATCAGTAATGTCTGCCAAAGCCAGTTGACAGTGGATACAAATCCGATCAGGTCCCTGGAAGAAGGAGGTAGGGACGTGGCCAATGCAGGCAACACACGGCATATCCAGCTTAAGCACCTTCCTGTTTTGACCTAGACAGATGTCTGAAGATGATAGACAGACTTTGCTTGAAGCTTGAATACCGAGCGATTGTGGTTCGGTCTGGCTGAGTCTAATCTAACAAGGTTTGGATGGTGGCATCTAGTGCAACGCCCTGCTTTGCGGAGGGTTACATCGACTGTTTCACGGCGCTGAAGAACTCCTCGCTCTGACGAATTGTAGTCTATCAATTGGCGAGAGATAGATGGAGAGAATCAGGTGGTTCAATCACTTGTACGGAGTATGCGGAGTATTCTCTCTACTCTCGTGTCTCTCCGTCTTCCTTGTATCCCGGTATTAGCACGCAATTCCTCTCTCGATGACAGACCCACTGGCCCGCGTCTCCTCCTTGTCATTGGCAAATAAGCATTGTCAAGCCTTTCCGGTTCTCCTTGGCTAGCCTCGGCATCAGTTCTTCGAGTTTTCTGGATTGCCACGGTCCGACTAGAACCTGGGGATAGGAAACCTTATCTGCGGCAGAATCATCGCCAGGAGGCGAATTCCCGTCGCTACCCTCTACCCGGTGTGATTATACTTTCCATCGCTTCCTATCATGCTATCATGCTACCACTATTTGCTATTGGTCCGCGGATGAGGCCGCTATCTGTTCGTCGACGGTATGGTTCCACTCAGATAAATAGCCCTCCGTCCCATCTGCTCTCCTCGGTCTCTCCCTCCAAAGATCACCGTTCTCCGTCTATTCCTTCTTCTGCTTCTTCTTCAGCTCATTGTACTCGGTCATGGCACAGCCAGCGAGTGTCGTCCTCGATGGGGGAGATCCTCGACTGCATGAGAAAGAGCGTGACGCCGTTGATGCCATTGACTATGGCACTGGCACTGCTGCTACCCGTCCGCAGCACCGCAAGTTGCATGATTCTAGTGTCACCTTCGAGGAGTACTATTACTACGCCCAATTGACCCGTGCCGAAGAAGAGTCGCAACCCAATGGCGACAAGGAACGGGGATGGCTGTCTATCCTCTTCCCCTCCAAGTCGGGCGGGGGCATCCAGCCGGTGGCTGAAAACACGTCCGAAGATGCCAAAACAATGACCGCCAGCGATACAGCGGGCCGAATGACCATCACCGACGAGGAATGGACCAATGCGTCCCGGGCCCTGCGGACGGCAACCCGAGGAGCCATCTTCTATCTGATCACCACCGACATTCTGGGCCCTTTCGGTCTGGGTTATGCCTTTGCGACAATGGGTTGGGGGTGAGTAGTACTTTACCTCTTCCAATGATGGAATGCAGCTGACGTGATAGTCCCGGAATTGCATTGTACACTGTCTTTGGTGGCCTGGCTGCCTACTCTGGTTATCTCCTCTGGTCAGCGTTCATGGGTCTCGACTCGTACCAATTCCCCCTCCGCACCTTCGGAGATCTCGGTTTCCGTCTGTATGGCCGGTGGATGCGCTATCTTTTCAACGTGCTGCAGAGCATCCAGCTGCTACTGAACGTCGGGCTGATCGTCATCTCCAACGGTGAGGCGCTCTACCAGGTGTCCAAGTCCAAGCTGTGCTTCATCATCTGCTGCCTGGTGTGGGCGCTGTTCGGCTTCATCATCGGCCAGGTCCGGACTCTCCAGAAGTACGGCTGGCTGGCCAATTCCGCCGTCTGGATCAACCTCCTCGTCATGTTCATCACCATGGGCGGAGCGGCCACCGCGCCCCCCAACTACGCGGCCACCTCGGCGTCGGCGGGTGCGGCTGTCAACAAGGACCTCATAACGCCCGTGAATGGTATCTATCCTCCCGTTCAGACGTCCGGCGGCCTGCCGGAGACGGGCGACTTCGTCGGCTCGCTCAATGGCGCCATGCAAGCCGTGTTCGCATACGGCGGTGCCATGGTGTTCCCAGAATTCATGTCCGAGATGAAGCGGCCCAAGGACTTTTTGACGGCCATGTGGGCGGCCCAGGCGTTCATCTACTTCTGGTACATGTTCTATGGCCTGTTCATGTACGGCTACCAGGGCCAGTACAACGTCAACCCCAGCTACCTGGGGATCGGCTCGTACAACATCTCGACGGCCGGCAACGTCTTTGCCATGCTCAGCGCKGCCATTGCGGCTGGTCTGTATGGAAACATCGGCCTGAAAGGTATGTTTGCACCTTCTTCTTAAATATTGCCTACTGACCGTCTCTAGTTTTGTACAACCAAATCTGCGTTGAGATCTTCCGGTGCCCTCCGTTGACCACCCGGGGCGGCAAGCTGTTTTGGGTCATCCTGGTCCCCGTCTACTGGGGTATCGCGTTTGCTCTCGCCGCCGGTATCCCCAACTTCTCCGGTCTGACCTCGGTAGTCGCTGCCGTGTGTATCCTGCAATTCACCTACAGCTTCCCGCCCCTTCTCGCTCTCGCGTACTGGGTGAAGCGCGCCGCCCTAAGAGACGGCGAGGGCTTCGACCCCGTGACGGGACAGACCGTTCGCCACGATCACGGCGTGCGACGCTTCGTCCGTGGTTTCCTCGCACAGAGACCCAAGGAACTGGCTCTGAGTATCTTCAACATCTTCTATGTCTTGGGTGCATTGGCGTTGGCGGGGCTGGGTGCATATTCTGCCATTGAGGGTCTGATTGCCGCGTTTGCGCAGAGCTCTACCACTTCGTATACCTGCAAGATCGCTATATAACGCCGCAGTCATGCTGTAGTGCGGGAGTAATGGTCTGTGTCCTGACAGAGGATAATGATGATTGTATTATACGATGCTAGCATATAGCCTTACCCATCATCCATAACCAGGAACAAAAGTAGTCATTCCGAGTTAAAATGATCAATGGTCCCTCTAGTAAATATCATTCACACTGTCGCGCAAAAAATCATATCGATCATAGCCATATCACCACTGCATTGTCTCCTCCAAAAGCTTGATCCCATCCCGGAAAAACTCAATCTTCCCTTGTCGACCCTCGCAAAATTCACCAACCACTGTGTTAGTCCGGGCAGAAATAGGCAGATCCGCCGGCTCGTATATGGCTCCCTTGGTGAGCCCCGCAGCCTCTTCCTCCATCGCGACCATTTTGCGTGCAAGAGTCGAGAACAGGACCGAGTCCCATACGCCTTCCCGCCGGTGACTGCGGCTCATCAGGTCGATGGCTCGGTGACGGATGTGCGAGTGCCGGCAGGATGTGGCGATAATCCAGAGAAGGGGGACAAGACCTAGCGAGAGGACGAAGAAGGAGGAGGAGGAAGAAGAAGAGGGTGGTGGAGATGTTGAGGCGGATTCGGTCTTGGGGAGGATGGTAGGAAGCGTATTTTGCTGTTGCCGAGCTGGTTGGACCCTGGCAGAGGGGTTTGACTTTGAAGCAGGAGGTGTCAGGGAAGAAGATTCCATAAGATCCTCCGCCAGACGTAGGATCGCGCCGAATTCAGAGACGAATGGATCAAGTCCGCCCTGGGAGGGCGACGCTTCCATATTCAAGAAGATGCCTATCATCTTCCGCCACATCTTCAGATGCCTGATTGTCATGCGATCGGTTTCACTCTGGTCGGTTTGCTCATGGGCTTCGAGGAATGCGTCGAACTTTGCTGACCAGGCGTGCATGTGCTGTCGCATCTGGGCATAGTATACCAGGTTCTGCTGAAGCGTTTGGACCAGCTCCACACTCTCGGATGTCTGCGACAGATATAAAAATTTGAGATACTGGTTGTAGCAAAACTGAAAGAAATCACTGAGCTGGTCGAGCGTCGGCGCGTCCTCCAGATTGACTGGAGGCAGTTTGGAGGGAGACAGAAGGGTTGACTGGATGGAGGCAGGAACGTACGATTTCCAGTCTACCTCGAGCATTTGATTCTCGATTGTGACAAACATCAAGCGAACAATGCTCGGGGGAAGACGGGCTACGGTTCCTTCGTTCAGAAAGCGCTCTTCCCGTTGCCTGAGGATTCGTAGGCCGGCTATACCGTGCTGGACGGCATTTCGAAAGTGGCCTTGCAAACTCTCAAAGCAGAAAAACAGCACACACATGATGAGTATGCTGTCAGTGCTTTGACCCTCGGTTACAGGGATCCGATTCAGAGCCAGGTGGATGGCAGAGCTGTACCGCTGCATAGCATACCGAGTCAATCCCGATTGGGGCACAGCMGGCCCATCACGCACAAAGGCGCGATGCAAGGACCCTAGCGCAGTGGCAGCCACTCGCACAGTCGCGTCATGATAGGCTGCACGGAGAAGAAAGTCGCCGGCCCTGGGTCCGAAGCAGGAGACGGTCTGGAAGTGGAAAAACTGCAGCGCACTGTAGTCACACCCCGCTAGCGGCTGGTGAAACGAAGGAAACATGCTCATCTTGATTGGTTCAGATACCTTCGAAGTATATTGAATAATGCGCAGATCGGTCGATTGGCGAGCAGTGCTAGACGAGGGGCTAGCGTAGCCGTCGCACTTTCGGCCGGTGGATCGACATCGTCGGCAGGTGGGCTTTTCTTCATCGCATTTTACTCTTCGTATCCTAGCACCAGCATGAATATTCTTGCTTCAGTTGCACTACATGTTGTCGACTCACTTGCACGTAAGACAGCCGTTGCGAGACCGGCTGCCACCTGTCCGTTGAGACATGGTCCTATTACATATAAGGCGTCCCACGATCACGATTCATATACTCCCAGCGCACTTTTAACCTCGAGGCGCGAAAGACGAGTTGGGTTAGATGGAAGCAAGATGGAGATATCCACGGATCCAAGCTTGTGGGAACGCGGCTGCCTATCACCATGTCAGACTGAAGTCAAGAAACGAGGCCAGATAAGTCGGGCCCCAAGACTAAAACAGTTAGTGGATGCGAGCAGATGTGAATTGTCCATTCAGCGTGCAAGTTGGATTGCCTGTCAGATCGGTCATGATTGGCCTGTCATGATGCCGATCCGCTTGCTATTTTTACTACTCGACATTGTATCCATATGACAGATGCCAAGCTTCATTTATCCTGTCTGATTGGCCTGCTCGCTTGTCATCTCAAAGAATCGGAAAGGTCTGATGAAGAGACAAGTCATGCTGCAAGTTGCATGCTTGAAGGATGGTGGAGGCTGATATGGCTGAGCATCATGACTCTCAGTGGTTATATACCCTATTATCTGGCTGCCTGACAGGCATTCACAATAGCATCAAAGTTATGGGAATATATGGATATATATATATATATCACTTTAAATCTCTGGCCATGATGACTTCTATACACTATCATCAAGAGAGATTTCTCTACCTGAGGTACCATTTTTACACCCATACGTCAATATGAACACCACGGCAACGATATCCCCCTCCGCTACGGCTTCACCCATATCTCCCACAGAGACCTGTACACATCCAAAGCCAGGGGAAAATGGCTACCTGCCTCCCGAAGCTTGCGATGCCATCCTCCTCTATGTTCCGTCCTTTGGTGCAGCCATCTTTTTCACGGTCCTCTTCGGGTTGACGACCATCTGCCACACAGTTCAAGCCTTCATCTACAAAAAGGTTGGTGTTCCATTGAGCACCCCAGAATGCTTTACTGACAAAGGTAGAAATATGGCTGGGTGATTATCATGGGAGCCAGCTGGGAGTTACTTGCCTTTGTATTCCGGACTCTACAGACACGACAGCAGGACAGCGTGCCTTATGCTACTGCTCACACAATTCTATATCTTCTGGCGCCTCTGTGTATGACGAGTCTCCTGACATCTAATCCAAGAGATACTGATAAAATATGTAGGGATCAATGCCTTCATCTACATGACCCTAGGCCGCCTCATCCATTTCTTCATCCCTGACCAACGGCTGGGTGGAATCTCCGCCAAACGATACGGCTTAATCTTCGTGTGGCTGGATATTCTCGCCTTTATCGTCCAGGCCGCAGGTGCCAGCATCACGACACAGACCGACGTGCCAGCCAGCACCACCATGCTCGGTATCCATATCTATATGGGCGGTATCGGACTCCAAGAGCTGTTCGTGCTGATATTCAGTGTTCTGGCAATCCATCTTCATCGTCGAATGGTACGGATGGAAAAGTACGGGGAGTTGGACCACGAAAAGACCACTCGCGGCTCGATTTCATGGCGCTGGCTGCTCGGGGCGCTCTATGCGTCGTTGACTCTCATCACCGTATGCCATCTCCTGTCCTCAAAGACAAAGTTTACTGACAGGTCGCAGATCCGAATCATCTTCCGACTATGCCAGTACGCGCGAGGCACGGACCCGACCAACCCCATTCTGACTCACGAGGCGTACGAATATGTCCTCGACGCGACGCCAATGTTTTTGGCCCTGCTCATTCTGAGTGTCATTCACCCCGGTCGCGTCTTGCAAGGACCGGACTCGGAGTTTCCCAAGGTCAGCAGGCAAGAGAAAAAGCGGATCAAGCAGGAGAAGAAAGAAGCGAAGAGAGCCGAGAAAGAGCAGAAGAAGCGTGGTAAGAATAAGGAACGGCCTTTCGAGTCGCTTTCAATCCAGGAAGAGGGCAATTTTTATGATTCCAGAGCCTAGTGGTGGTAAAGTTGGAGTTTTTTCTATAAGGTACTCAAAGATAGAATGGTACAAATGTTAACATAGAGCAAATGCAATTCATTTGACCGTGGTACTCGGATCTTGCCAGGATATACACGAAACTGACTACTTGATGCTCAATGTTCACACAAGTTAAAGTCGTCCATCTCAAATTTCTCGTTCTGCGCCTCCAACTTGGATGAACGCTCCTCCATCAGCTCTTTTCGGTACTGCTTGGCCTCCTCCATCGTGATGGGATAAGCATCGAACTCCGTCTTTACCATCTCCTGCAGTTCAGTAGGCAGCTTTTCCCCAAGCAAACGGCCAACGAGCTCCTGTCGTTCTCTCCACCAGTCCTCTTGCTGAGGTGGCACATTGGCTGACGAAATAATAGACAGATGTGGATCCACAAGGAAAAATGCCAGAATCTTGCGATGGCCCGGTTTCGACGGGTCTGCCAGCCTGAATGGAGCCACCCGATGTTGGAGGATATTTGGAAAGGTAAGGAGACGTCCTTGACGGGTCTCGACACTGCCCAGCAGCTGAGTTACGTTGCATTCATTGTGACCATCCACGTCAGGCCCGAAGCCAAAGACCAGTTGAAGAAACCCGTGCCGGGATTGTTCATATTTAACGTCGGTGACCTGGCTCGTGCTTGCTCGTTGACGGAATGCGAGAGTGCTCTCTGTGATATTCTCGCTGTCGTAGTAGTAGATAGCTGTAGCACAGATATGTTCATTCTATACATCATTAAGATGAGGCTCGTCGATCAAGCGCCATGACAGACTTACCAGTTGCCCTTCAATATGCCAGGAGCCTCCTTCATACTCGGGCTTCTCCGGCGTCAGCTCAATGTTCGCCAGCTTGACAATCACCTGGAGTCCTCGCTCGGCATATTCCTGGCGGAGATTGACCTGGCTTTTAAAAGAGTGTGGGACAAAGCTTCCTGGTTCTGGCAGTTTGATGGGCTGTCGTCGTGACCATTCCCAGTGTCGCTCACAGTATTCGTCGCTATCCTCTTCTTCCTCGTCCGCCGCTTCCGGCTCGGGTTCTGTATGGTCCATATACTCAACTCTATGGTATTCAATGCGTTTATATTCATCCTGCAAGAGAGTCAAGGTTTTGTTCCACATAGGGATTGTCCTTGTCAGAATCTGTTCGATGACTTGGTACAGCGCTCGGTGTCGCTTTGGATGTAGATTGTTAATGTAGGATGCAATGCGGCATTCATCGTCGTCATTTGGTCCAAAATGAACGTCACAGGGTAGCCATTGGAACCGGAGGCTGTAGGGTCGATGGGGGTCCCTCTCGAACCGGCGGAACTCGTAGTCATTCTGCGCCCTGACAGACTCCTCCGTTGGGCGGACAGGGAGCACTTTGCCTTCACCAATATGTTTCGTAAAGGCTTCTAGATTGATGAGTCGATCCGGCAGGATGCGCGTTCGGCCATATATCACAGGGAATAACGATGGATGCACTAGGTCAACCACCTTGTTGTCCGTCCCAGGATGGTAGTCCTTTTGTTCCTCGGGGACCTGCTCCAGGGGACGGACGGCATCTATAAGAGCCTGTCGTAATTCTTCCGGTATGGCAACATCTGACTTGACCACACCCACGTCGAATGCGACAACGTGCTTGGTATCTTGGAAGACCTCAGCTTTCCACTGCGCTTCTTTGATGATCCACTCTAGCATTCGCTCGCTGACGTCCTCCCCGCTGTCCTGAATTTCTTTACGCCATTTGGCAATGATCTCATCATTGAACACCTAAGCAAGTCAGTATAAGCGTGTCGATGCCATGGCCTACGAGCCTTCTTGTCCCAGTCCGCCTTGTCGGTGATGGAATTCATTGCTCGCATCATGACTATTTCCCGATGTGTATTCGACCGTCTGTTTCTGTCAGCTTGCCCTCAATTGCGAAGCGCCGACTAGCTTACGAGATGAAGTAGTCGTCCAGCCCATTCGGGAACATGACAGGCCTGAACGTCCTGGGGGTGAAGTTCAGGGGTAAGGAGAAACCCGGTAAGTCGAAACGCGACTGCGCAGAGGCCATTGGGACTGCCATGATTGAGTGGATTTGCTGATTATGTGTACAATGACTGAGAGACCTGGCCGTCAATCCCAACGACTGAGGTTCCAATCGCGTTATATCAACACGTTGGTGATTAGGCAGCCAGCTGCTGCCTGGGGCATCTGGACGGACCCCGAGCCAAGGTCTTGGCGCCTGGGATACCTGGCTTACCTGGTGATTTTATCCGAAGAAAAGAGGCTAAAGGATCGTGGATGAATCAGGATAATGAGGCTTTTAAGGGATGTGCTCGCGGAAAGTCGGTGTGCTGAGGAGTATCAGAGGTACTCGACAGTGCGGATAGCTAAGCAAGGAAGAGGGCCGTGGGACTACCTTGTGTAGGAAGGACATGCAAGAAGTGTTCATGGTAGATTACATAGGCGCTGGAAAGCCACAGATTGGACAGCAGGGTGAGACTGTAAAATATACGCAGTAGCCCGAATGGCAAACTGCGGAAAACTTGCTACCCTAAAAAGCTCTATAAATTTGTCCATTGGCGCTGGTCTAGCTGCAACGCGATTGCGGAACGATGTGGAACACCCAAACTCAAGATAGATTGTTCCAAGAAAATGTACTGTCTGTTACAATTGGAAGTCGAATTTAGAACCTCGGATGCATCACAACTTTTTCTTCACTTCTAGCACCGATTCATCTCCCTTGTCGGTATTCCAGATCTGCACCAGCTCGAGGCCTACCGCATCGAATAAGGACCTCCACTGCGAGACCGTTCGCTCGAGACCGGCGGTATGTAGCCACATGAGAATATCCATCTCAGCTGCTCTCAGCTCGGCCCCAGTATCCGGCAACACGTAGTCGGCGATCAGCAATGTGGAGTATTCTGGATCCGTGGCGTCGGCGATGCGCGACAGAATCTGCTTGCTTTTGGTGTCTGACCAGTTATGCAGCACTTGCCGGAAGAAATAAGCCCGGGCACCTTTGACTGTCAGCTTGCTTGACCTGGAAATTGGAGTGTGTCTTACCCTTGACCGGCTGTGGATTGAAGAAATCGTGTTCCATGGGTTCAATCCCCTCTGGTATCTTCTCAATCCGATTGAGGGTTAGAGGGAGATCTTGCAAGAGGATTCTCCCCGGAACGTCCGGGTGACGCTGTCTGAAGCGCGACATTTCCTGTCCTGGCCCTCCTCCAACGTCGACCAGCAGGACAGAATCTGAACCGGTTCGCACATCCCGCAGTCTCTCCGCGGCAGGATAGGTTTCGAACCACTGCGGCTGGTTGGTCAACCGTCGAGACGCCATGTAGTCATCGAACGCCTCCTTCTGCTCCGGGTTTTCTTCGAGCATGCCGAAGATTTTGTCAAATCCATGTGCATACTTGAAGAGTGTTTGTTGGCCAGGTTCATCGGCAAACTGGCTAATGCCTGGACCGCGCATGTACTCAATCAGTTTGGCTCCCTAGATTGTCAGCCGGGACCGTACAGGTGAGCAGCAAGGGAATGGTACCATGCCAAAGTCGGGCTCGAAGCTGCTAAAGTCAGTCACTCATTCTTTAGGAGGATGTGATACTTACTGATGCTTCACGGCGGCAATTGATCCGGGAAGGATCTCAAAATGGGTCGTCTCATTCGCCGCATAGGTTTGGTTGGCCGTCTCGAGGGCAAAGCCAATTGCGGTCAACACACGCATCACCCGGACTAATGAATTAATATCGATCTGCAGAGGGAGTGATGCACCTACCAACTAGAAGTTCATCCGTATCAGTCACATGCGACAATTCGGCTGATGATATGGGCTCTCCATTCCTCTCCGCTATCGCGTGAAGCAGCTTCCTTTCAATTGCCACTCGAACGCAGATATTTTGCATAACCTGGTTATAAGCTGCATGGCCAATTTAACTATATCATGCGACTCACCTGAAAGTTCACTCGAGAAGTTGTGTCAATCGGCTTTTCCGCTGCCAATTGCAGCTTGCGAATAGCAGCCAGAAGTTGACCGTGAGCATTGGGATCACCCGCAGCCTCCGCCTCGGCTAGCCTCTGGACGTGCTTTATCTCGTCAAATATGGTCATTCTGTCTGCAACTGATAAGCAAAGAGAAGTTAGACGATGGCTGTCCTGGAGGGTCGGAAATCCCGCGATGTTTGGCATATATAGAGCAATAGAGGAGGCGCAAGGACATGAGCACGCCAATTTATCCCGGAAGGTCTCAGTCCAAATGGGGCACAATGGAATTGCGGCACACTCAAGATCCACTTGATGAACGGTGTTTGGACGGAGAGAAAACGACCATGGGTGTACTAGAAAGGCGCCAGACAGGGGTTCTTCAATCCGGTCCTACTAGTGTGTTTAAGCCATTCGGTGGAATCGGGGAGGACTTGGAACGAGAGTACCAGCTAGATGAAGCAAAACCGAGGTATTATGTACAAATTTACCGGGCTAAGGTGATTGCGCTTGAGTTGCTTCGATAATATTGATACTTCGGAGGTGTTACCTCTATAATGAAGCCGGTGGGACACTGAAGGAACTCTACTGAAATTCAGGTAGACACTGATATCATACAGAAGGATAAGAAAATACACTAATATCTCGATATGGCCACTAGCGAGATTCCTCCATCACAGTGGTTTTCTTCGTAACGACGATCTGGTCAGGATACGCCGTGGACAAGATATCCTCTTGGCTACCTCCATGTATCCCCACGGACACGCCCTTCTTCATGCGAGGCCCATTAGCCATCCAGGGGCTATGCTGTTGACCATCGAGGTTTATCCATATTTCGTCGTTGGGACGACTCCCACTGCGATCGCCATCAACATGAGTTCGGCTACGCGAACTCGAGTATCCCGCGACAGTCTTGATGCTCTGAGAGAATCGCACGAAGAAGGGGCGTAGGACAGGAATGGATCCAAAGATGAGAATAAACCACATCTCTGTCAGGACCCAGGTATTTAGCTTGGCGATGGCGTACGTCTGGTCAGCGGTTTCGATGATGGTGGATATGGCGACAGTCTTGTTGATCCCGGCTATTCCTGCTCTACACAGACACTGACATTAGCAGAAGAAGACATGATTGTTAGGAAGAGGCAAGAGCTGACATGATCCCTCCACTCATCAATAAGCACAGTCCGATTTTGACGGACAGTCTCATCTGCTGAAGTCGTCCGATGATATAGACCGGATAACAGGCCAAAAAGATGTCCGCGGCCGCACCAATCCCTGTCTTCGTCAATACTTTTGCCTTCTTATGAGATGAAAAGGGACCATACCACCCTGAGCGTATCCGATATACAAACAGGTCTCGATCAGACTGCAGGTTCCTGGAACGTCCGTATCCCACAATCGCTGAGGGGGATCACACTGATGGAAGATGACCCCAATTTCGGCCACATTGATCAGCCCCTGGAGGGCACCCACCGTAAGCAGTGCCCAGCGGCCTTTGCGGTGGGTATGCATTTGCAAGGTCAGGAGGAAAGCGATCACCGCACACCGGGCGATTGCGAGATCAAGAATGGCCAGGACTTGGGCAATCCAGCTCCAGTAGTTGCTGGCAACAATCTGCTGGTGCGAGAGCTGATCCTGATGCAATCCGAGGCCGTGTGCGACACTAATCGTCATGGTGCACTGGGCCGCAAAGGCAAGCGCCTGCCGTGTATCAGTATGTATTCCCGTCACCTGTGGCCGATCCGGCATACATAAGCGAACATCACCCAGATAAAATCCCATCGCAGACCACAGAACCCAAACGAAACGTCTTCTGGTGGACACAGGGACGCTGTCTTTGCACGTAACCCGAACAAAATCAGAGCCAGCGCTGTTTCTGCCCAGGTCACTCCAAGCAGAACAGGACCGCGTCCTCCATATGCCGTCGCCATAGTGAGCCTGAGCTGTCCTTGCACGTGGATGAAAACACAGCAGAGTACATGGTAACTTCAGTCGCAGAGATTTTGTAGTCCAGCCAGACGAGTCTCCTAGGGTGCTTGATTCCCGGTCAATCCCAGTCTCACACTCGGTACAGGGATAGTGGACAGGGACCTGAGAACAGTTTCTTGTTAATCCTGGACTACCGATGAGTTTCACATGTAACATGACTGTGCTGTATATCTGTAGAGGCCATGGATTAAAATTAAACGACCAATGGAACACCAAAAAAAGACCCCTCTATGAGCTGGAAGTGGACTGTCATGCAACCGCAGCAAAGTCCCCTGTCGCATCCCTGTCGTTAGGGTATACTAATTAGCATCCGCTAGTTCTGGGCAAAGCAACAGCAACTTCTTAATTCGGCTTGACTCCTAAGAAATTGGCGGGACTCTCAAGTACGTGATTGCTGTCAATTGTGGACCAAGCGGATGCTACGGTGCTAAGATCACAGCCAACTTCCTTGTCCCCTCATCTGCGCTGCCTGTTTCTGGTAATTTCGCCGTCGGTTTGACCCCCGACGCATTAATTTCAGATCCCTGCCTAGATTTCTACCAGATGCAGGGGGTTGTGTCTCATTTATATCTCTTATTTCTCATGCCTTCTTAAACAACGCATTTCCCGGGTAACTGTGCCGTAAATCCTTGCCCGATTCCAGACAGGAACCGATATATTTTGCTACCTGCTGCAGGGATCCTATACAGTGGTACGGACGCAGAACAAGTCATATTCCCTGTTCATCAGGATAGATTAAAAAATTGTCCGAATCTCACAGCGTCTATAATAGTCGAGCATTTTCTAGAAACGTTTAAATACTTTTGCACTTTTTCGTATCTCTCTCCAGATCAATTCACCTGAGGTCGGCGAATAATTGGCAGCGGCCTGTCACGATGGACGACAAACCCCCGCTACAGATCACTTTGGTTGGGATCGATGAGGATGAAGAAGCCCTTGAAGGATATGTCGTTGACCCCAGCCGATATCCTAACAACGCGGCTGGCCTGAAAACGATGTCAGATGGCCGTTATGTTCTCATCCCGCAACCCTTGGACACCCCCGATGATCCGTTAAATTGGAGCTCGCGCAAGAAATGGCTGATTGTCTGGATCATGGCGTATATCGCATTCCTGGCGGACTATACTGGAGGCACGGCTATCATCACCGTCATTCCTCAGTCCATGTAGGGTTCCATACTTCATAAGCAAGAGGATCTGCTGATCAGTTATCAGAGAGTGGAATCTGTCCCAGGCCACGGTCCAACGGGCCGTTGTAGGCAACCTCTTCACCATCGGGTCGTGTGGTATCATCGTAGTGATCCTCGCAGGCTTCCTCGGTCGCATGCCCGTTCTTCTGGTCTTTCAAGCAGTCATGGTCGGGACTTGTGCCTGGTCCGCAGCGGCCACTAGCTTCGAGTCGTACATGGCGGCGCGGATCATCAACGGGCTCTTCTGCAGTGTTGGCCAGGGAGGCGCGTTGCTCTGGATCAAAGACCTGTTCTTCTTCCATGAACACCCAAAGGTCATCAACTACATCGAGTTCTTCATCATCATGAGCCCCTACCTTGGCCCGCTGCTGACATGCTTCATTGTCACCGACGTGTCCTGGCGCTGGGCCTTTTGGCTGTGTACCTGCATGTCCGCCGTGGCGTTTCTGCTGGTCTTCCTTCTTGATGAAACGCTGTTTGATCGCAAAGGCCGTCAGATCCCAAGAGGGTCATACATCGCCCGTCTCACGGGAGCCCAGCAAGCACAGCTGTGGCGGGAGAGAAGCTTCCTGCAGTGCGCTATGCGGCCTATCGTCGCCATTACCAGAATTCCGGTTCTGATTATCTTGATCTACTACCTGCTCAACTTCGCCTGGGTGATTGGAGTCAACACGACAATCGGGATTTGGCTGAGCAATGACTACGGCTTTTCCACTCGCGGCATCGGTATACCATATATCCCAGTGACTTTCGCTCATTCGAGATACTGATGCCTGACAGGTTATTTCTACTTCTTCGGCATTGTCGGCGTCATTATCGGCTGGCTCATCGGCCACTACCTCCACGATGCAGTGGGCACCTTTTATATGAACCGACACCAAGGCCGTCTACACCCTGAGGCACGCCTGATCATCGTCTATCCCGCCACCATTCTCTGCTGCGTCAGTCTCATCGTGCTCGGGTTCGCCTTCGAGCGCCACTGGCACTACATGGTTATTGCCGTCTTCGCAGCCATGCAGTGCAGTAGCATGATGATCATCACGACCGCCATCAACGCATACCTGCTCGACTGCTACCCCGAGGGATCCGGCGAGGTGGGCGCGTGGGTGACGGCCAGCCGCAACTGGGGAGGGTTCATGGCTACGTACATTCAGATCGACTGGGTCAGCGGCATGGGTCCAGCCAAGGCACTGGGAATCCAAGCGGCTATTACATTTGGGTCGCTGTTCTTCATGGTGGTGTTGCAGCTGTTTGGACAGCGGCTGCGGAGGTGGCAGGGCAGAATGTATTTCGGCAAAGCTGTGAAGTCTACATAGTACCGCTGAGCATGATGTAGTAAGAATCTGGGCCCATGTTAAGAGAGTGTGTGGGTACTGTTAAAAGGGTCATCATGAATACCAGGACTTGCCCCATTCGGCCGCCGGATAGAATCCCTTTCTACCGAAAGGGTTGTTTCTTCTGCTCCACTCTTAATTTACCTCCTTGGCGTTGATCGCACCCATACTTTCCATGTGTGTGCGTGCTTCTTGTAGGGTATCACTGCGTTTATTTTCTGACCTACAGCCGGTCATGCAGGGATGAGCATCTCCCCTGCCCTTTCTGTCAGATCAAGCTCAAATTTGTTACCAGGAAACGAGAAATGATCACGATGAACGTATTGTGAGCTCCTTGACACGCACGAACGTAGTATTCTTTTGTTCTTTCAATGTTTCCGCATGGCTTAGACTACTCAGTACGAGGCACGTTTGCAAGATTGTTTAGATGGGCGGGAGTGCTTTGAAGAGGAGGACAGGATATTAGCAGGACACGGGAATCGGTATATTGTCCCCCAAGATATGTCGCCCGTACAGGGCCCACATCATAGGGAAATCCGATCTGCAACATCCCTCCAGAATGCGCAACGCCGTCCGCGTCCTCCTTCCCAGGTGTAGGCGTCGGCCAAACGGAATTGATTGACGACATCGTCTCCCTCCCGAACGTAGTAGCTCAGGTTTGGCGTGACTACAACCTGACTGACGGACCCTCCGGTGGTGTTGAGATCCATCTGCCAGGGAGACGTCGGACGAAACTGCGGCCAGTCCAGGTGGCCATTAAGACCTACAGGAACCACGGCTTGGCTGTTGTTGGCCATCGCATCGACGAGAGGAATGACCGGACTATTGTTCATGATGAAGTTTCCCCACATCTTCCGAAAAGCGTGGTTGAATCCAGCACAGGGCCAGGAGGCTCCCATGTTGAAATAGGAGTTCAGATCGGCACCGTGATACGCCGGCGTAACAGAGTACTGGTACTTCCATGCTAGTCGAGAAGCGCCACCAAAGGCCTCGGCGAGCCACTGCGCCGGACAGTCAAAGGTGGTTTCGGCGAAGATGTTGAAGACCGTCTGTTGCAAGCCTGTAGCCATTTCGGACTGGTTGTTCGCTGTCGGGCCACTGGTGCCGAGGGTATCAAACCGAGGACCGTCGTCTCTTTGCTGCGAGTCCGCCGGACCGTAGAGACGGTTCAGCCTTGTGACATCCTTTTCAGTCAGTCTGGGAAAAGAGTTGGAGATATACGCGTTGAATGCAGCACGAGTGACCACGTTAGGATTACTGAGAGGGACACCATCATTGGCGTTGTTCTATTCCACTTGATCAACGTCCACTCGAACGAAGGCATAATATGGGAGGAAAGAGCGTACCCCGACGAGAATGCGCCGACCGCTGATATGGCCAGCCTGTAACTGCACCGACGGTCGTTCACGGATCATATCGCCGTCTAAAACGGGTAGGAAAGCAAAGGTGCCAAAGAGTCCAGACTCGGAGACAATTCCGCTGGCACTTTGCAGTGTCTCACTAGGCGCGGCAACAAGGCAGTCAAAAGTCGTCTTGTGCTTGGATCTGGCAGATGTGGATGGACCACAGCCGGCCTGTTTTGCAAAGTGCTCGTAGTACGCGGTCGGAATAGCACCATCATAGGGATAGATGGGGGGCGAGTACGGGCTCGCTGCGATGATCTGCGGATGGCTGGTCAGTTGCAAATACCCGGGATGAAAGACCGAGACTTGCATTCTGAAATAGATTCGATTCATTTCCTCCATATGCCATCGACTGCAGCATTACCGCACCTGCGCCAGCCGATTCACCGCCGATGGTGACTCGTGTGGGGTCACCGCCAAACTTGCCGATGTGCTGCTGCACCCATTCCAGGGCGAACCTCTGGTCAAGGAGACCAGCGTTGGGGGTGCCTTGTTTATGGACCTCGGCAGACGAAAGAAACCCAAATGCGCCCAGACGGTACTGGATTTCCACCGTGATGAATGCGTTGTTGTTGGTGTTCATGAGCGGGCTCGGATCATACACGGCGCCAAACAGCCCATAGCCACCCCGTCTGTGGATCGCCAGGATCAGTCGACGAGCACGTGGGACGAAGAAGCAACTTACGGATCCAAGCGAACACGGGGAGATCGGATGCTCCAGGCGGCGCATACACATTCAGAAAAAGACAGTCCTCGTCACCAGGTCCAGAGTTGAACCCGTAGATGACAGGGGTACCTGCAGCACCTGATTGGGGACAAATAGGGGGCTGATCCACGGCGGGGATGATCTGGCTGGTGTTTTTGGCTGGAGGTCGTGGAGGTTGCCATCGTAGTTGGCCGACGGGAGGCGATGCATAACGAATGCTGCGGGATCAATCTTAGTACGAGGGGCTTGGCAGTTAGCTAGATGAGAACACACTCTTTCCAGATATTCAACCCGGCTGAGGCCTCATAATAGCCCTGATAAGACGAATAACCGAGGTCGACGACGGGGCCAGACGAGGAGCCAGCCACGAGGGAAGCCAGGGTAGCCGCCAACAACAGGCCAAGGTCGAGTTTCATTGGGCTCTCGTCCACTGTCAATTGGATTGACTTTAAAAATGTTATTTAGGATGCAGGTTTAGGAACAAGGCTGTGGAGAATTAGAGATATAATTCTGGCTTTTTGAAGGCTGTCGTGGGATGAAAGCTGAAGGATCAAGCGGACAGGACTGCGCTAGTCAGGTATCTCTGTCCCCGGAATAGTACCTACAATTTCCTCCAGTGAGTAAGCCACATTAGTCCACTTGACAGGGACTTAGCAATAACTGGTGCCGAAGGATTCAAGGGACTGATTTGCCTTTATGACCTATTGGCCCGATTCAGCCACTAGTTCAGCCGGATAGCGTCTGATTAGCTGTGACCATCCGCTCTTGCATGAAAAATCTTAGAATCACAGCTTTTCCCTGGTGGACTAGAAGGGAAGAAAACGAAATCCCGGCTCGGATTGAGTGCACAGACTATTATTGTTATTGCAATCCAAAATGTCTGCAAGCTTGCAACTTTTGTCGGACCTGTGCGTACGGCATCCATGCAAGATTAGCATAGATGGAGGGCATAAAGGATTCATCATGGCCCTGTAGCTTATTCTCTGTCGGTTTTCTTTTCCCTTCTTCCATCCATACCTTGTAGTTCCTGGACATGATGAATGTCTTGTCGACGGCCGCGTCTTTTCTGGCGCAATCGCAAGTGCCCCAACCACTGCAGGGTCGTTCCCCACAGCAAAGATGACATTGACAACAGCGACAGACCCAAGCATCTGACCCCAAGTGAGGAGAACTAAGTAGGTTGGCATAGGTCACTAGGGCTGCTTGAGGAACAACTCTCATAGGCAATAAACCTTAGGTCCCAGGAAACAGACAAATCTGTGAATATCAATTCCGAGAGTCTGAGGCCGGTAAGACTCTTGGAATGATGATCGAGCTCATTATAGTATCATAGGATGAAGAGTAAGGTGATGACTGGTACAAAAGCAGCAGTTATAGTAACCATGGCAGGAAGTAGCCGTATTAGGGCCAACTGGCTGAGTACCGAAGGCGGCCCGTATGTATGCCTCGGAGTGATGCGGTAGGTCTATATCATACGGAATATGATACTAGGTCCTTGAAATTATACAAATCGAGTCAAGCGACAAAGTACGGAGTAGGGGTCCCTAGTAGTAGTAGAAGTGATTGTTTTTTCTCAATTTCCGATGGCGTAGACGGATGTAACCGTCTCAGGGATCAAGGGTCCGAAATAATGTGGCCTGATCTTTATCATCTATATCGTATTAGATCATATCACAGGCTAATGCTAATCTCCCGTAGTCTTATGTTAGCTTCGTGTTAGCTTAATTTGTAGTACTTACCTGCGCTATTTTGCGATTGGTTGGAACGACGGGCAAACTAATTCCCTTCTAAAGGACAGATCATACATATATACCTGGACAGGCATTATAATACCTATTTCGCTTTCATCACTGGGAACAGAGATAGTATCGTTGGCCATCACTCCCTCACCACTAAGGCTTGTGCTGAAAACTCAAAGAATGGCATACTCTCCACGCCCAAAATTCTTGTTGTCACTCTTCCGCGATCTATTGAACACTTTTATCCATTCCTCGGGCGATGACCCTCTCCTTGCGCGGGCTCATAGGCTGTGGCTAGACGAACCTGCACAGGCAAGTAATTTTACCTGGTTAATCCCAATTGTGGCGGGTATTATCCTCAACTTGCTAGTATGTATTGACCTTCTTTCGGAATTCTTCGTCTTTACCCCGGGACTAAAGGTAGCAAGATTCGATATGTGATCGGCCATGTGATCATGTCCATGCTGATACTCGAAACCGCTGAGACCCAGGCCGACTCTCATGAAGTGGGGGGCGGAAAGCGGATTCCCTCTTGCCGGCAGCTTATACGGACGCTTTCTTCCCTCTACAGCCAGGGTGGTCTCCGTCTTCTTTTCGGTGGATTTGGCGCTGCATGTTCTTATTGGGCTGCTCAATCCTCTTTAACTAAACTGTTATCATCTCTGGTGCTGAGACATAGAACCCTAAAACCGCTTGCTTATATCCTCTCCTCAATTCTGCTTGCAGAGAGCCATTTCTTTTGGTCCGCTCACATCATTCTCACCGAACACCAAATCAACCAAGTTAATAGACACCGCGATTGGAGACGATGGAAATCCTTGGCTATTCCGGCCTTGATCTATGCCTCCACTGAGACTTGTATGAGTCATATTCCCGCTATACTAGAGAATTTTAACGATACACCTCACAAGAGTATCACTTTCGCGACAAAGTCACACATCGTCATGTCGGATATCTCGCTCTCCATCTTTATGTTGGCTCTTCACCTTCTGGTCCTCCTTCCATCATATATTGCCTTGATATCAGTCGAGGCAAGTTTTCTTCCCCCTACATGCGAAACTATTATTCCTTCCCCCTCCAGACAGAGAGGGTCACATGTCAGGGAGCTATTTCCGACTGCTGAGCTACCGCTACGGACGCAGAAAGCGTGGCAGATGATAGGAGTTGGAAGATTATTGTGGTGCCTTGAGTTACATGGGAAAATGAGCCTATGTTTGTTGTGTGTTGCCGCCGTTGTTCATTCCTTTGTTTATTATCTGCTTTAGGCAAACCATTGCCTGGATACCCAATGCAACACCTTGACAGTTATTACTATATCGCAGTGGCGCACATTCCTTAGGAACTGGCTCCCCTGAATCCACTTTTCTGCATTGATCCTTAAGCAATTTGCTGGCGTGAGCCCCCGTTAGGACCCTGCACTGCGGTGGAAAAAGCTCAGGTACAAAGCCAATTTACCTCCTGTGCATGCCTCTGTAGGTGCATTGCATGCTATAGCAATAGAGTACAGAAATTATACTTGTCATCCTATAGATGTGATGTCGTAAAGTATTTCTTCGTACTGTAAACATCTAAGTAATCTGTCAAGTAAAACACTAAAAGATTGTCGGCGATTCTGGGATACAAATGTGCCCGGAGAATGCTTCGACCTAGTGGCCTTCTCCTACTTCACTAACATCACCAACCCGATTACCGATATCTGGATCTTTGCTCTCTCCATCTCCCTGTCTAAAGATGCAGGGGCTAGCGCGCCCTTGGGGATCCTCTTTCTGAACAGTCCTCTTGCACGCTCAACCCAGATTTGCAGGAGCAATGCCAACGACCGTGGGCCCTCCTCTACAACGGGAGCGGCCCGAAGAGGGCACACCACTTGGAAGTCTCCGACAACATGACGCGCGGTGAGCTCAATTTTACAGTCAATGAGTCGCAATGTTCCAAGTGGAGCAGTATTTCGAGCAGCAGGTTGATCATGAAAGCGACGAGGCACCGTTGCGTCCGGTATGAAGGAAATAGAGGTTGTACTACCAGAACTTTCATACACAATTAATGACATAATATTCCTCATAGCATTCCTCTCGCTCTGACGTGCGTAATGCCTGTCGAGTATCTGACCAGTAATCAGGGTAAAAATAGTGCAGCGATTGGCCTGATTTAATACATATTAATAAGAAATATACCATCAGTCTAAATGGCCGCCTGTCTCATAAACCCCAGCTGCTGCTCGACCACCTCCTTGACCATCTGGTCCAGCGACCTCCATTTCATCCCCAAGACTTTCTCCGCCTCGGTTGTGTCCAGTGGGTAAGACTCTCCTGGGATATCCTCGGTGATCTTGGCGCCAATTCCCGGATAGTCTCTCTTCACGATGCGAGCAACATCGCTCCAGGATGCCTTTTTACCAGCCAACAAGAACTTGGATCCGTCTGGAACCTTTTCATCGAGCGCCTTAATATGTGCCTCAGCCACGTCCAGGACATGCACTCCCGTAATGTTTCCAACTGGCTTGCCGGTCATGACGGTTCCCCAGATCATTCCATTTGTACCACCCTGGAGTTCCTCTGCGCTAGCCTGCACATAACTGTGTCCAAAGACATAGGCAGGATGGAGAGTTACAAGTGAGAAGTGTGGTTTTTCGGTGTTCTTGAATTCCCAACTGGCGTTGTTCGCTAGAAGCTTGGAGGCGTGGTAGAGTTTGAACGAGGTGGCGCCGTCGTCCGGACCCGTGAAGTCGGCATTTGGGTCGACGGTCAGGTTCCAACCATTGTTCTCTGTGATGGTCAATCAGCATCTATCATCGGCCTGACTACTATTCTGAAGGGATCGGAACTGACCTCTGATCACCCCTCCTTCAGGGACTCCCGTGCGGGGTATGAGGGCCGCAATGGACGACGTAATCACGACTCTCTTAATCGTGCTGACTTTGGCGGCTTCTCTCAAAATGGCCGTGGTACCCTTTACAGCCGGAGTAAAGTACGTCTCTTTGTCTGTCCCGTGGGGAAGAGGGGAGGCAAGGTGAAGCACATAGTCGGCTCCATCCAGCTTTCCAGCGAAGGAAGACTCCAGAGTAATGTCAGGCACGACCACGAACTCTATCTTGTCTTCGTATTGCGCCAGAAGCTTCTTTAGTTTGGGGATCTGTGACTCCTTGCGGATGCTGATGCGCAGCGAGTAACCTGCTTTGAGGGCTTCGAGGGCAACAGCGCTGCCGATGAAGCCGGTAGCACCGGTGATGAAGATAAGTCCGGAAGGCATTTGGTTGGAGGCTGTCGTTAGAATAAAGAAGTAATGTGTATGAGAAAAGAGATGCTTATCAGGAGGCGATCTTGGTTAATATACAAGTCGACGACCTCGGAGTGAGGTGCTCATATCATTTTACGGTAATAATGGTTTATTTTTGTTTAGTGATCATATACTCCATAGTGGAGACGGTCCGCCATGACCGTTTTTGATTAGTGATTGCATAGTTAATAACCACCTGGCTACAACAGACAGTCATGAATGATTAGTGTTCTGTCCGCTACTCAGTCATAGGCTGAGAGCATAAAGATGGCCCGCCTAGATTAACAATCAACATGAAGATGAATAATCACCTGGCCACTTCCGTCCGCCACATCACTCACAGAAAACCCCACATATACGAGGGGTATACCTTCMCTTGAGGTAACCTTTTCTGGTTGTACGATTTGGATAAAATACTTAAAATGTATCTTTACAAGTGTTACCTCTCACCTCATAGTAATAGAGAGGAGAAGGGGTCCTTTATGTTTAAAATATATATCCGGACTAAACGTTCTATATCCCCACCAGATGAGTATTCGATACATACATCATCTGGGAATATAGCTAAATGGTCTATTTGGAATTTACCATAGCATATCTATGGAAGAACCAGCACTAGGTAATATAAGTAGAAGACAGTCAAATTATACATTCAGCATAATTCAGTCTTATGCAGAGATATGAGGTAAGCAATGGCTGAACAATTCCACCAATCATAGCCTATCCTCCTTAGCTCAGCAGCTTCTTCCACGTCTCGATCTTCTTCCGTCATCAATTTATCAGTAGACAAAGGGGCCTGGAATAACTCATCAAGGCGACTGATTATTACCTACTTTACTGGTACATGTCGACATGGATGCGCCATCATCCACAGCCTCAGCTGCATCGAGAGCTGGCCCTGCAAAACGCAATCGAGTCCCGCTTTCTTGTGCTTCATGCCGGGTGCGCAAGTAAGTGTTCTAACATATGGGATTATAATACATATTGAACTGACACGGTTAGACTGCGATGTGATCGTCATCAGCCCTGCCACAACTGTGTGATGCGGGGATCCAGTAATCTTTGTCTGTATGCTAGTCGTCCCAGTCGACGACAGAAAGTGAATAGCTCGGCATCTCCGTTGGAGGGCAGAGCCACAAGTCCGGTCCATGGGCGGCTCTTTGACGGACTTTTCTATCGAAGTGGTAGTCACTGGGATAGTGTCCTCGGTGAAGTACGCTTCGTCATGTCCAAAACATGGAAGATGCTGAAGATGCTGACGGAAGATTTCTGTAGCTGGCGACATTGACCATCCAAGATGAGTTACACAAGGATACAAGCAATCGTCCCCAGGGAACTGCTCCTGGATTGAGTGAGGAGCTGCTAGCGGTCATGCCATCTCGCTCCGCGGCGGATAGACTGATATCAGCATTCTTTGCTCCTAACTCTTTCGTTGGCCCAACAAGGTGTAAGGTTTCTTGAATGATGTTGCTGAACCCTATCATCTGACAAAAATCGCAGATTCGATTCATTATCCGACGTTCATGAAGCAGGTTGCAGCCATCCTTCGTAGTTAGTCAATCGTCGCTGACTGTAAACAGTACGAAGAATACTGGAAGAACCCCTCATCCACTACTCTAACATGGCTAGCTCTGCTCTATTCAATATTCAGCTCGGCGATGAAATTTCTTCCTGATGCAAAAGACGAGTCGGGGATGTCTGAGGCGCTTGGGAAACTCTACCACAGCAAGTCCGGCCAATGTCTGGAGCGTATCAAACCAAGCCAGACCACTCTGCAAACGCTCCAGGCAATGATCGCTCACGGCATCTTTGGTTTCTCTCAACGTGAAGAATGGGGAGCTGGATTGATTACGCACATCGGCTCGATCGTGCGACTGGCGATGAGGCTGGGATTGCACCGGGATCCGGCCCATTTCTCCAATCTGACGCCCTTTGAGGGGGAGATGCGCCGGAGGATCTGGAGCTCGATCGACCAGATTGACTGCCTGTCCTCCTTTCATCTTGGCATCCCAACTGCCATCCGGACGGAGGACTCTGATACGGCCCTGCCGCGCAATCTCCTCGATATCGACATAGATGAAGGCATGAGCGAGTTGCCATCGTCAAGACCGTTTTCAGCGAGTGTTCCAATCGGTTATTTACTGGCCAAGAACAAACTCACCCGAGTGATGAGACGGGTTGTCGAATTTCTGAATTCCGTACAGCGGCAACCTTACGAAAGAGTGTTGCAACTTGACAGCGACCTTGTTGAGGCGTATGGGTCGATTCCCCCCCACTTGCAACTGAACAACTGGGACAATGCGCCAAACGAACCTGCATATGTAATGGTGCAAAAAGTCCAGTTAGACATACTTTACCACCAGGCAGTCACCGCACTGCATCGAAAGTATCTTCAAGAAGCCCGGAAAGACCCTACATTTGCTCTTTCTCAGCAAAGAAGCATTGATTCGTCCATGACGCTACTCCAACATCAAGCTACCATATACAAAGAGGCTCAGCCGGGAGGGTGTTTGAGCAACTTCCATGGGTACACCATCACTCCTGACAGTGCGAACTTTAGCCTGGCTGCAATGGTGCTGTGCTTATACCTGCAATACTGGACTCGAACAGAGCAGACGGTTTCTTCGCGGACAGATGCCCGTGTTCAGGAGATATTCCAGGCTCTCGACACCTCGCGCCGGATTTGGAACACTCTGGCAGGTGAGAATCATGAGGCAGGAAAGATTGGACTCGTGCTTGACACAATGCTGGAGCTGTTACGTCCGAAATTTGGTCTTCCAGATCAACATGCACCAGCCATGGACCTGGCAGTCTCAGCCGATAGCGAAAAAGGTCTTTCTTCCGATCCCACTCTGAGTGGGCAGTCTATCTCTACAGGTAGTTCTGATGTACATCTTCCTGCGGATAGGGATGGTGCAGGCGAAGCCAGCATGGATATGGTTGACCTTGATTGGGTACGTTGTTTTCTAGTATGACAGGACCAAAGCTAATAGAATCTACCAGGATGCTTGGGACTCATTCGTGCAAGGAGACGATTTTGAGACTGCGTATGAGAGCCTTCTTCTCGGCGAGGACTCAACATTCCTAATCGAAGACCTCGACCCGAGTACTTCCTCGACTGTCTAGAAATCACAGCTCGGTATGCAACATATTTGCCATGGGACTGATAGCCGTGACCCATGCGTCGATCGCAGCGCGAGGGAATCCATCAGCGACGTACTTCTGGATCTTCCCATTCTCCGTGACCTCCAACCCTCGCACCACTTGGTCAACGTATTGCTTGACCGGCATCCCCTGAGGCTTCGTCCCACCCATGCGTCTGGTCAATTCCTCGACGTGATATTTATCTAATTCTGTCTCCACGTACGGAGGCAAAATCTCCACCACATTGATGCAGGTATCCTTGAGCTGGTTCCGCAAGAGCACCGTGAAGTAATGCAGCGCTGATTTTGTGGCGCAGTACACGGGGAACACGGCTGGGACCAACGCCAGACCCGAAGTCACGAAAGCTAGAAGACAAGGTTGGCTCGGTCGCGAGGCTTTGAAGTGTTCGATGATGCAGCGTGCTAGGACGGTCGGGCCGGTCAGATTGGTTGTGATCTCGTCGGTGATGGCGTCCGTGGTTGGGTACTGGGCTGCAGAGGCGTCGGTGGTGTTGAAGTCCTGGAAACGCTGGATGCCCGCATTGATGATCACCGCATCAATATCTGGGTATCTCGCAAATGCTTCATCTATCCTGTTTGGCAAAGCTGCAAGATCCTTTACGTCCATCTGCTTTGCGTTAGATAGTCGTATGTTATAGAGCGATGCACATACCTGGATCGAGCCCAACCCTGGTAGCTCAGCCGTCAGAGCATCCAGTCTCTCAGCTCGACGACCGGAAATAATGACCTTCTTGCCTTTGGCATGATACTGGCGAGCCAGTTCTTCGCCAATCCCCGAGGTGGCTCCGATGATAAGGATTGTCTGAAAGGTGGCCATGTTGTGTGAGTAGAACTGTTGTGATGTGTTGACTAGACGAGACGTCCATCGGGCAGAGGGGAATTTATAGATTCGTGGCTACATTATTTTTCAACGGAGACTGTATGACTGAGTTGATAATCTCCGAGGATTTAAGAGCATTAATGCTAATGTGCGTCACTCCGGCCCTGCCGCATTTATAGCGGAACCTTATCTCCACGGACTTAAGGACAGCCTTGAAGACCAGAACATTCGCAGTGAAAATCATCGGTAGACCCACTTAGAAGAATTCCAAAAGATACTACGATGCACGAGAAGAGAATGAATTCTGTCTACCAGCTAAGGCATTCCTCCCAATCATCCCACTCTCCGTCCATTCCGTTGGACCGTATACGGAATTCCACCCGCACTTGGCGAGATTCATAATCAATCGCCAACGGAATGCCATGAAGCCTCTTGAACTCGGGGATCGGCTGATTGTCATCGAGACCCAGCTCCTCRATTTCTTTCGCTCTTCGCGATACCGCCGCCAGTATCGGCGCCTCCCAGACTACATCCGGATACGGCGCCGAGGACAACAAGTCGATGGCCTCTTGCCGGACAGCTGAGTCCCGACATTTCGTCGCGACAAAATACAACGGGTAAATGACGCCCATCTTCATTGGAACGCCGACGAGCGAAGTCGCAGCGGCACTCTCTTGGCAGGCGTTGGATGATCTCGCCAGGGAAAGAATCCGCTTGAACGCATACAGGAACCGGTCATACAGCGTTTCCTCAGCATAGACGGATGTAGATGCGGTGACCAGCGCGATGTAATACTGGATGAGCAGAAGAGAAGCGCGCGCAGAAGTCTGCGGACTGCCCTGCGCCTTCTGACAGGAATAGGAGTACCCGAATGCCGACTTCCAAAGCTCAAGACGCGCTTGCAGGGTCTGTGTGTACGCAACTAGCTCCAGAGGAACGCAACCTAGTTGACGTATACGGTAGAAGTTGCCCGCATTACGGCAAAAGTG